AGCAGGAGGGCTTGTCTAGTGTGCCTGGGGCACAACAGGCTTGCAGCAAAAGCTGTGTTACAAAGATGAGAGAATACAGCCAGAGGCCATTGTCTGCACCGATGCCTACCACAGGGCTCTGAGCGCTCCTGGGTTCCTTGTAGCATGCCCCTCATCATGAATCGGAAGGCTGCCAAGTCTTCTCTCAGGATGCCCTTATCTGCAGTGGTGTCTGGTGTGCTGCTGGGACCCACTCTCTCTCGGCTTTGGTCAGTCTCACAGGGGCCCACCCTGTCCTTACTCCCCACATACTCTTCGGGGAGTTTGAAAATTGACCGTGAGGGTACACTTGCCTGACAGAGTGTAGATTTGTCCTTGTGTTTGCAGTCTCCTTGAACAAGCTATCCATCTCCCGTGGAGCTTGGGATGCAACTCTCCCCTCCTCCCTGCTCCCTCTGGCATGGGACATTAGACCAGATTCTCCTCTGCCAACCTCTGCTGTCTTTCTGAGCATCCTGTTAAAAATATTTTGACTGTCATTGGCTTTCTCTGTCTTCTGTCTTATCTGTTTTGTTTTTCATTTCTCTTTCCTCTGACTTTGGGGAGAATTTATTGAGTTTATCAAGTTTTCCAAGAAAAGCAACACGTGTCTGCATGTGTGTGTGAGGTGTGTGAATATGTGTGTGTTCATACACGTAACTGATAACTGTGAGGTGAGCACAGGATAACCTTGGCTCCTGAGGTGCTGTCCATCTTGTTTACTGAGACAGCAGGGTCTCTCATTGGCCTGGAACTTGACCAGTAGGCCAGACTGACTGCCTGGAGAGCCCCCAGAGACCCAGCTCTCTCTGTGTCCCCAGTACTGGAGTTACAGGTGCATGCTGCCACACATGGACACACACGTGTACACACACATATTTACATATGTAAAATGTGTACATGTGTAAAGTGTGTGTGTGTGTGTTTGTGTGTGTACATGTGCATGGGTTCTGGAGATGGATTCCAGATCTTCAGACTTGCATAGCAAGAGCTTTGATGACTGAGCCATCTCCCCTTCCTTCTTTATGCTTCTGCTAGCCTGCCTTCTTACTTGTAAACATCACTGTTTCTGTCAGCATCCTTAGCAGAGCACTGGTTTCTGGGCACTGGATTTGGGACTTTCTGTTATTAAGAAGTGAAACTCCCATTTGATTTTACCAGTGAAAACTCAGGAGCCAGATGCTGGGGTGAAAACCTGCTAGCTCAGAGAGGCAGAGAAATCACCCAGCTGACCTTCCTACTCAGCTCACCTCCAGAAGGAAAAGGCAAAAGCCAAAGAGCCTACTAGCTCAGCCCAGGAGAAAAAGACCTGCTAGCTCACCCAATGGCCCAGGAGGAGAAAGCGAAAAGCTAAAAGCCCAAAAGCCAAAGAACCTCTTCTTTTTATCCATGCTGTCTTAAATACCCTCCAACTCAATGCTCCTCCTTTCTACTTAATCCCTGTCAGCTGGTTTCTTGCTCTGCCTCTTGACCTAGGGTGATCTTTATTAAATCTTGTGTACAGAAAATGCTTACATCAAAGGTGTGTGCTAGGGCTGAGCTGCCATAATCACATGTTTGTGATGAACAGAAAGTTCTTAGATTAAAGGTCTGTGTTAGGGCTGAATCACACGAAACAAAAGGCAGGTTTTTACAGTTCACAATCTCGGGATTCACAATGGGATCAAATATCCTGGACCAGCTTTCCCGTCGGAAGGGCTAAGGATTCCAGATGCCATCCCCTCTGTCTCCAGAAAAGTGTGGCGGTGCATCCAGCATGACTAGGGCACAGTAGCAAAGAGAACGCACCGTACCTGGATGTCCATTTGGATTACTCTTCTGCCTTTGAGCACGTTGGGGTGGGGGAACTGCCACATGATGAGCAGGACCCAGAGCGGGTTCATCTGCATCGAATCCAGGTCCCCCTGCTGTGTTATATGACAATGCCCCCGCTGTGGCAGCCGGGGTGTTCCTCTGATCCACTACCCTGACCATCATGTACCACCTATGGGTCCATTAACACCCAAGCTTCTGAAGCTTTGGGGCAAAGTCCCCAGGCTTTGGGGACTTCGTAGTCTAGGATGGAAGGATCTGAAGTAACTCGCCTGTCCAGCGCCCACATCTAAGGTCAGCCTGAGCACCAGGAAGGAGACAGGAAGCAGGGGCCATATCAATTCTGAACAACACTGGCAATGGAAACCACCAGGTGCCTAAGGCAGAGCTCTCCTCCATACAGGCAAGGAAGACTCAGTTAGCCCTGCATGAGTCCCTCATCTTTTTCCTCCCCTAGATCTGGGAACACACTGGCCACTGAGGCCTTCATGAGGCTGAAGTTTAGACAGTTCATCACTTTGCATCCATTTCTTTCCTTAAATTCCTTGCCACAGTAGAATCTCCTCATTCCACCAAAATTCAGTTCGCAGAGTCCCCCAGAAGGGTCCCCCATAACCAATGGCCTCTGACCTTTACCATCTGGTGGATGCCTCTGCTACATCGTCTCCCCTTGCCATGTGTTGCTTCCCAAGGGATGGTCCTGTACATGCTGAAGCCGGCAGGCCACTGGCTCTGATATTGGCTCATGGGAGCCATCTTTCTTTTCACATTCATGGCTGTATTTCCTCCTCAACCTAGCATCTGGGACCATTTGCTCAAAGCTAGCTCAGCTGGCTAAATGCTAGATAAAAGTACCCTATAACCAGGAATGGGGGAGAGCTGGGGAATTTGGGGAAAGGACCCTCTAAACACAGCCCCAGAAAGGCACCTGGGCTGTGGTTTGGTGGCCTCTGCCGCAGCTCTGCCAGTGGTTTCTTGTTTTCTCAGGGACAGACATGATTGGCTCTGCAGAGTAAATCACTCTTGCTCAGTCCAGGGTATATTCCTATAATGAGGCTCTGCACGCAACACAGGAACGGAGCCTCAAGGATGCAGCAGAAGGAGGACACAGAGTCTTCTTGTAGTCTCAAGGACACCACTGGGATTCACTCCACTCAGAGAGCAACCAATTCTGTTTAGCGAAACATGAGGATGTATGTGTGCACACACAAATGACATGTATATAGGGATATAGGGGTGTGCACGTATGTGTCCCCATGGGCAAGGACACTGACATGAAATGACTAAGCATGGAAATTTAGGGAACATGAAAGGGGGAGGCAAGTCCATAGGGAAACTTTTTAAGACTTATTTATTAACTATGTATACAATATTCTGCCTGCATGTGTGCCTGCACACCAGAAGAGGGCACCAGACCTCATTATAGATGGTTGTGAGCCACCATGTGGTTGTTAGGAACTGAACTCAGGACCTTTGGAAGAACAGCCAGTGCTCTTAACCTCTGAGCCATCTCTCCAGCCCCACGTAGGGGAACCTTAATAACTAGCTTTGTTCATATGAAACACTGCTAAGCAGACAAACTCTGGCACCTAATTCTCCTACAATGCCAGTGAGTTAACTATTATCTTTAATAAAATGTAAGAAACTCACAAGAATCAACTGGAAGGAATCCGGGGAGGCGGCCCTATGGGTAAGGTACTTGCACGAGGACTGGAGTCCAGAGCCCCAGGATCCACATAAACACTGGATTTGTAACACCCTACCTAAAATTGCAACCTTGGGAAGCAGAGACAGGATTCACAAAGTAAGCTGGCTAGCAGACTAACCCGAGCAGTGAGCTCTGGGTTTGGTCGAGAGACCTTGCCTCAATGAACAAATGAGGTAGGACAGTCAAAGATGATTCAACCCCTGGCCTCCACATGTATGCACAAATGTTTACAGGCACCCACATTCATACAAACATCCATGTACACACAAGCATACCACACATACACATAAAATTGAAGAAAAAGAACTGGAATGCTCTAAAACCACATTGCACCAGCTCAAGAAAGTCTTGGGGATAATGAATGACTTTCAAATATGACCCTGCCTCAAAACAAAAAGACAAACAGGGAAAGAGAATGGGGGAGGGAGAACACGGGATGGAACAAGAGGAAGGAAGGAGTGAAGACAGAAAGAATGTCCTTGGAGTTGTGCACCTCTTAGTTTGCAAGCTGGCAAACGATCTTTCTTTTTGTTAAAGACATAGTTTTACTAGAGCCACTCATTTTATTGCATGTATGAGTGTTTCCCCTGCTCTGTGTATGTGCACCATGCACACACTTAGTGCCCAGCAGAGTGTTCTGGACTCCCTAAAACTGGAGTCAAGGATGGTTTGGAACCACCACGTGAGTGCTGGAAACTGAACTCCCAGTACATATTTTGTCCTCTGCAAAAGTAACAAATGCTCTTAACCTCTAAGCCCCACAAATTATCTTTTAATTAAAAATATTTTCCAGCCCTTCAGGGAACCAGCCCACTTGCTTGATTGTGCCAGCCCCAACAGTGTGTGGGCAGTGGGCAGAGGACCAGGACGCTCTGATTCCCAGACAGCTGGCAGCCAACCACAGCCTTGCTGCTTTGCACGTGAGCCAGGAAGGACACAGCCAGTCCCCAGCCCTGACTCCTCGCCTCTTGTAACCAAGGAAACAGGCAAGTGCCCATAGGCATAGGTCTTGCTGAAGGAAGTCAGTGCCCCATTCCCCCCACAAAGTCATAGGAAAGTTCTAAGCAATGGGTGGAGGAAATGATTGACAGGAGACCCTCACTGGCCAGTCTTCAGCATAAAGACATGGAGGAGGCACAATATTCTCTAGTCGATGTAAAGAACGGATGGTTTTCCATGTAATTTCACACCTCTTTCAAAGCGCCTCTTAGAGTGGAACATCCATCTGTTATGGTACAGGTCTTAAATGTTTCCCCAATTCTCACAGTGGGAGTGGAGAGATGGTAAGAGCACTGGTTACTCTTGCAGAGGCCCCAGGTTCAGTTCTCGGCACGCGGTGGTAATGAACAACCATCTGTAACTCCGCTCCAGGAGACCAGACGCCAGCCAGACATGCACGCAGACACACCTGTGTGAGCAGTCAAAACACTGACACAAATAACAAACCATTCTTTTTGCAAATATGGCCATGCAGGCCTTTCATCTCAGTGCTCTGGAGGTAGAAGCAGGTAGACCTCTGTGAGTTCAAGGCCAGACAGGGCTATACAGTGAGACCCTGTCTCCAAAAACAGGGTTTTTAATCAACTAATTAATTAATTAAAACAAAAAGATGCTTGGAATTAGCACCTTTTTTTTCCCCTAAAAGTTCATTTGTTGTTAGCTTGGTTCCCCCAGTGGGTGGCGCTAGTGAGAGATGGCAGAGACGTTGGTAGGTCGGGGCCCTTTTGGAGAAGTTAAAACACAAGCTTGCCCTTGAGGAGTATATTGGAAACCCCCTTCTTTGCTTTTGGGCTGACATATGCTCCCCACTAATATGTTCTTTCTCCTCACAGCCCCAAAGTAACAGGGCCAGGTGACCCACAGAACAGAAGACCGAATCTTGTCGTTTTAAGTTGCTTATCCTGTGCATTTCATCACAGCAACAGGAAGATGCTTAACACAGTTCCCACACATCAGGCCCTGTGCCTTGGGCCTCTTTGGGGATCGAGGTCCCTCTGTTCTTACAATAAATCGGAATTTTCAACCCTAAGACTCTGAGCATCCAGCTAAGGAAACAGCAAGAGAATCCCAAGGCCAACACACCCTGCCACCAACGCTCCACCCCCAAGGAAAGCGGGTCTTCTGGGCAGCTCGGCGGCGGAAGATAGGAGGGGTCATCATGAGACAACTCTATGGCTCGTCGTGAGGTCTCTGGGCCGCTGTCCGCCGTGGGTGGCACCCCCAAACACCCATGCGCCATTCTTTGTCCACCCAGAACGTCTTCTCTTCCCGTATTCCCCTCTCGTAGTTCAGTATCAGAGGCCAGCTCAGAGCCACAAACCCTGAAAATGCCACTACCCAGGCCTTCTTTGTCCTGCACTTAATGGCATGAGAGCGCTCTTGTTCCGGCTCCTGCACCCACAAAGCAGTGGGACAGTAGGGTTAATGAGCGATTAAGTTCATGATAAACAGCGACTCTCTGATCTTCACACTGTATCTGGGGACACAGAGTGGCTTTGCCCTGTTTGGTGGCAGGTGTCCCGGAGCCGGCAAGGATCGGGGCACAGGTGGAAATCCGAGTTTAATGAGTGTTTGGCTAACTATGGAGAGAGCGCTTTTCTAGGGTCAGGCCCTCAGGTGGCTGGCTACGCTCGCTCGCGGGTCTCCAGGCTCCGGATCAAGAGTGTCTTGGAGAAGCCCCTGGCGCAGGTGACAGGATCCTAGGCGACTCCGCTCCGCCGCCTACAGCCCGGACGCGGCTACTGCGCCGGGGAACCGGGCGGCGACCCTGGGGCGCAGGCACCGCGGGGAGGTGTCTGAAGCCGGGCGCTTCCTGCCTGGCCCTTGGCCCAGGGTGGTGACTGGCTGTCGCGATCGGGGCGCAGGTCCCCGCCCCCGGCTCTCAGTCCCCACCCCTGCGCCTCCGGGGGCGCCCCATCGCGGGAGGGTGGTCCGCCTCCCCCCGGCCGCCCAGGGCAGAGAGGCGGCCAGAACCTCCACCTCTTCCCCGTTTCCGCCGCAGGCAGCGCTCGCCGGCCAGGGCCACCGGGAGGCGCGGCCGTCCCTCCGCCCGCGCGCCGGGGGCCGGCCCTGCCGCCTGCGCCTTTTTCCCCGCGCACACGGCGGCGGCGCGCGGCCACTCGCCAACCGCAGGCAGCGCGGTGGCTGCAGCGCCCTGCGCTCGGAAGATGGTCCCCGCGGCCGGACAGCTCGCTCTGCTAGCGCTGGGTACGTAGGCGACACCGGGTGTCCCCGGGCCCCTCTAGCCTGCTCTCCGCGGCGCTCCAGGGTCCGCTTTGGAGAGCAGCAGAGAGCCGGGGGCTTGGAGGGGCGGGAGCGGGCGAGCCACCGGGGGTCCCCGAGAACTGGGAAGCGGGGGACAGTCCTGGCGAGCTGGCCTCCCGGCGCTGAGACCGGCTTGAACTTTACTCTTAGCGGCGCCGGCGCTCGGCTCCGGTGCCCACGCCCTCCTGCCTACCTGGCTGTCGCCACTCCCGGCTTCCCCAGAGCCGCGTGAGCGCGACCCTCTGGGTGGCCCTGGCCTGAGCCCCTTTCGCGCGGCTCGAGCCCCTTTCGTGTCTCTGGCCGGAGCCCCCGTTGCGCGCCCGAGGCTTTCGCCTTCGATTTGAAGCGCTCCTAGGCGCTGGGGTGCATTTGGGGTTTTTGTGCGGATTAATTGTTCTGTTAGGTTTCCTTCGGAGCTCTGGTGTCCCTATCAGAGGAGGCGGCAGCGACTGACACCTGAGCTTGACCAGTTGCTCGGAGTTGATTCTTGGACATAGGGTGGTCGGGCGGGGGTTGGGGGGGACACGCGTCCCCTCCTGTCTGGGCGGTGGGAGATTTCCCGCCGCGGAGCTCGCGGGTGTGTTGCTCCGGGCTGTCCTTGACGTGCTGTTCCCGGCGCAGCATCCGCGCTCTCTACCTGGTGCAGGCAGCGTCTGTGATGTTTGACAGAGTGGACTGAAATCCCCTGGTGTCCTGGGCACCGCTGCCGCCTTGTGAATCTTTCTGTCTGCTGTCTTCAGCACTTAACCCTGGACGGGGCTTGAGGCTGTGGGTCAGTGGCTGGAGTGCTTTAAGGACCGAGCCGCAGGAAGGATCCCAGCCTGGCGCGTAACCCCAGCGCCCGGAGGGTTAAGGGAGTAGGATTTTAAGTTCGATACCACCCTCAGCTATATAGCAAGTTTGAGACCAGCCTGGGCTACAAAAGAACCTGGTTCTAAGTGATTATTAATAATCAAAGCTTTGTAAAGCAAGATGCTTGCTACAGGGTCGGTAGACCAAGGAGGGAAGTTTGGAACTCCTCTCTCCAAGATATGCCCAGAGCTGCAGCCTGTCACAGCCAAGGTGAGGGAGGGTTCACAGGTCCCTGGCAGTCCTGCCCTGGAATGGCTCCCTCGGCAGCAGGAGAAGACACTTTGAGCCTTCTCCTGCTTTGAGTTGAACCTGAAGTGAGTTATGGGCAGATTTCCTCACTTTTAGCAAGAACTACCTTTCAGGTCTATTCTAATGTTGGTTTTCACTTCAAATATGTATATATACACATATTTGTATATATACATATATATACTGAAGCTGTGAACTGTGGAGATGGTGAGAAGCCTTCAGGTTGCTTCCCCATCCTATTTTTTTTTCCCAAATAGTATAGCTAGAATCCTGTGAACACTTGCCTGGAACTGTCAAGCAGCCCCAGTTCATTCATGTGTTTGGCTTGCCAACCCACCTGATGAAGAAGAAACCGTCCTTGTTCCCATTTCTCGGAGGCAGAAAGGACAGTGCTACTGTCCTAGATGGACCAAGGAGTGCAGACGTGGAAAGACACCTCACTTGTGGTCATCCCGTCTCTGGGTTTGGGATGTGGCTCTGAGGAGAGGCGGCGTGGAAAACCCTAGGACTCACTTGGGTTTCTTGTGGTTGAGTCTGTTCAGAGAACAGAGGCAGAAGTGCCTCCCGCAGCTGTTGGCAGCTGTGCACCGCGGCCCCTTCAATGCTCGCAGCGCAGGCAGCACGCACACTGCCACACTGTCATTTCCTCCTTGCCTGAGTGCCCCATCCAGTTTGTTCTCTGCTCGCTTCCCTGACAGAGAGGGGGAAATTATAAACATAAAATTGACCAATCTATAAAAGCTGTCTTGTGCTGTTCCAGAAAGAGTAGTTAAAAAAAAAAAAAAGTGCTGTAGGGAGGGGATTCATTTACAGCAGTGAGGGTTCCTTTCTATTTAACACTCTTTAAAAGAAAAATCACAGCCGTTAGGTCTGTGCCTTTACGCAAACGGCTGCCTCCCACGTGTCTTTAATTTGCGGCATTTCCTCTGAAGCTGTGTGCCTCTGATTTTTCTTAGACAGCTGCAGGCAAATCAACCACTGTTTCATCAGTGAACACTGTCTGAAGAACCCTGGGCTGGGCTGGGAGAGAGCTGGCTCTTAGTGCTGCCGGTGGGGGCTTAGGATTGGATCTCAACCCTTATTCCTGTTCTAAGGGACAGAGTGAGAGAAGTGTGGCCCAGTGGCAACTCTGGACACATGACCCAGGTTCCTGAGGTGGCTGCTGTCCCAGGCAGGGTTTTTCTCCTGGACCTGGCACCTTCTCTGTACCCAGGGAACAAGCAGCTAAGTTGTAGGCACTCAATCGCCTTTCCGTGCTTGTCTTTATTCTCTGTGAAATGGGGGTGTAAGGAGAGCTGTTGGATAGAATTGGTGCCTGGAGACCTGTCTGGGATGTAATCAGAGCTTAATTAACCTTAACACCACCCAACCCTTGTTATTGGTACTCGGAGCCCCAGAGAATTCTGGATGTCACAGCAGGTTATGTGGGTTCTATGACCTGCAGGTCACCACGTGAGCTTGCCTCTAGCTCCTCACCCTGTCTCTGCCAGAAAACCTACCTGAGTGATTTCTAGTCAAACTCAATCAAACTCAGGCATTCTTCCATACATTACAAATCTTTCTTTTTTTTTTTAATGTCTAACATTTGTGCCTTCTCTTTAGCACTCGATGGCCACAATGGCCACTTGTTTTCTCTAAAGTGGAAAAAATAAAACCAGCCCCACCTTCCAGGTTGCTATGAAATCAGAGGAGATGGTCAACAGATTTACAGACCATAAAAATAATGAGGCTGGGGGCATAGCTCAGGCGTGAAGCCACTTGCCTGGCAAGCACAAAGCCCCAGGTCCCGCCCTACCTCTGCAAAGGAAACAAATAAGTGATACACTGAAAATAAAATTGATTTTGTGACAGAGATAGACTTTATAAGATGGCAATAAGGCTTGACACCACTTCCCATAGATGAAGACCACCGATAGCCCTTAGAGATGGCTGCCATAGAAGGGAGGTGGGGGGGGGTGCTAGGTGATATTTGCTTTGGATTCCTGTTGAGGGGTTTTTAGGGGGGTTCTCCATTACATGGAAATGTCATCTTTCAGGCTTCTGCCGCTGGCCTGTGGAGGACTCATGCCTCCCATACTGGACAGTTAGGGTGTGCTCGCCGGGACTGAGGGCTGGAGGGGTGTAGCAAGCCTGCTGACCCTATTTGCTTTTCTAACATTTGGTTTCCTCAGGACAAGGTGATCTTTCTCTAATGTCTCTCGCAAGGGAGACCTTTCTTATAGGAGTAAGTGATGCTTTGCACTGTTGTTACCATGGTAACGCATGACAAACAGATGACTTTTCCATTGGACCGATCTCCAAGGACCTTTGCAATATGTGTTTGGAACAAGGCTCTAGTCAGCACACTGCCCTCTAAAGCCGGCAGGCGTCAGGTCATCCCACGCTAAAATCCTTTCTAGCATCTTCTACATCAACATGCTCGTGTCAGAACCATCTGGAGGCCTGGTGAGCCCAGGTGGAAGGGCCTGCATGCTCAGCGAGTTTCCAGGTGTGACCTGTGTGGCTGGAGGTTCTTCAAGAACCCTGCTCCTCAGGGGTTGTGCTGTGGGGGCCTTCTGCTTTAATCAACTGCCCTGTGCCTCAAAGCCATCCTCCTGCTTCTAAGTGTGGCTGGCAACCCAGGAGCCGCCGTTAAAGCTGCTTTGGCCTGTGCTGCCAGCCAGGGCAGAACTGGAACCTTACTGAGAGTTCACAGTTCTGCTCTGCCTACAGCCTGTGACATTAAACATCAGCTTACAACACTAACCATTTCATGCTTCTGTTTTTATGTTTTTGTGTGTTTTTATGCCTATGGGTATTTTGCCTGAGTACCAGGTTCGTGCAGTGCCTGAGGAGGCCACAAGGGCATCAGATCACCTGGGACTGGAGTGACAGGATTGTGAGCCACCATATGGGTGCTGGGAATTGAACTTGGGTCCTCTGCAAGAGCAGCTTAATTGCAAAGATGACTTGCTATAGAGCTTTTTCAGATATTTCTGATCATGTATTTTAAGAGATAAACTTAATTCTGTGCTGAAAACTAATACACATTACATAATATAAATATATAAAGAACTAGTATATTTATTTATATATAATTGTTTCTGTATAAGAGGGCTTTCTAGATAGACTTCTCTACTGGCACCTGTTGTAGGTACTGGGACCTGAACTCGGGTCTTCTGTAAGTGAACTCTCTCACCTGCTGAGCCATCTCTCTGGCCCTTGATTCACTTTGTAATATCTTCCTGTGGCAAATGGCAAAGACAAAATCTTAACCCAAAATTAGAAAAGCCAGAAATCTGGCTGGCAGAACCACCTCTGAGAAGCAGCTCAAATGCAAGGGTGTGTGCTCCCTTGAGCCATGTGCTCATGTCTAGGTACGCCACCTCTCTCTCCAGGGTGGAGCTCACTATGAAGACTTGGCTGGCCTTGAACTCATAGAGATCTGCCTGCTTAAAGCATGTGCCACCACTCTGGCTAAGCCAGTTCTTTTGAAGCATTATGAATGTGTTGTATTAAGTATGACTTAAGAACTAAAAGCTGGAGCTGGAGACATAGCTCAGTGGTTAAGAATTTTGGCTGCTCTTCCACAGAACCCGGGGTCAATTCCCAGCATCCCACGGCAGCTCCCAATGGCTGTAATTCCAGGTCCAGGGCATCCGATATGCTTACGAAGACATATCTGTAGGGAAACAAATAACTCTTTTTAAAATTTTAAAGAAATTTAAAGAAACTGTTACCTGGGGTTAGGAAAAGCCAGAAGATATTGAAATATAACTGTGCTCCATTTAATACTAGTTTGCTTGTCTCAAGCCGGAAGAAGCAATTTTTTAAGCATGGAGTCATCTCCTAGTCTAGTGAAT